GGCCGTTCTGCTGAGTCCACCTTAGGGAGTAGGGTGATGAAAAGAGGCTTAATTTCGCTAGGTCTGATAAGGGAATTTTAATGTAGCATCAACGACACATTGGGCACTAGTAGCATGAGTTCAGCACGTTTTACTGCACTAGCTACTTGATGAAGAACCTTGCACACTTACATTTTTAAAAACTTTCTTATCATTTTGTCACCATTTTACTTCATTTGCCAACTAAATATTTCGTTAAAAGTAGTTACACAGATCATTTTTTTTAATGAAACGGGAGGGGTTTCCCCCTACTGGAATTTATTAATTTTTGATTAAATTTACAGAGTGCCGAAAACAAGGCTTAGGATACAAAGAAGGAAATGAAGAAAATCATAACTATTATACAAAGTTGTTTAACCATTGATCAAACGAAGGTTGGTACTTGCTTTTGGCTCGTAGCTTAACTAGGGCCAACTCCTTGAACACCATCTTGACTGCTCCAAGTGAATGCTGATGATTCCTAAAAATAACATCATTTCTAGCAGTCCAAATAGCCCAGCACATAGATATAATAATTTCCATGTAGAAAGATCTCTGAATTTGATCTTTGAAAGCAGAAATGGTATCCAGCAAGTTTGACTGTATGAGATGAGCTAAATTCAACAAGTTCCAGCAGCTCATGGCAAAAGGACAGTGGAAGAATAAATGTAGGAGAGATTCCTCGACATTTAAGTGGCACAGAACACAATTATAACTTTCCAAATCCATGGTTTTCCTTCTGAGCAACTCTCTAGTACTGAGTCTATCTTTTAACAATAACCAGAAGAAAAATTTCCGGGCGATTTGCAAACATGGGACTCCAAACATCGGTCGTTTGCAGATTTGACACTGGACCCACATTCAGACACAGATGGACCCTCTTGTCGTCCACCCGAGTGTCATCATAATCAAGGACTCAATCTTTCGAGTGTCGTTTTTGCAATTTTTTCAAAAATTTCCTCTTGGGTTGACAATGAGAATTCCAAAGCCACTTGTATGCTGGATGAACTTGCCTCTTGCCTATGAGTTGTAAATACGCCTTGTTTGAAGTAAAGAACTGTGAACCCCAGATATAGGTCCAGGTATCATTACCATCATGTAAAATTGTATCAGCCATAATAGTCCCAAGCTGCTGATACTGACTGAAGGCCTGTACAGAAAGTGGCAAATGGAACTGATCTGACATATCCTCAGAATTAATGAATGCCTGCACAGTGAGATGCTTGTCCTTGACAAAGGAGAACAACTCTGGAAATTGGTGGCTGAGAAATCTATCATTCCAAGTGTCTTTCCAGAAAAAGCAAGAGGACCCATCCGAGACTGTTACAGATGCCAAACCTTTGAAGGAGATTAGTGTTTTGAGTGTGTCCCTCCACCAAAAAGAACCTCTGTTACTGTTGGGTGGTAAACTGCCATTGGAGTAGTAACAATTCCAGACTAGCTGCACCCAAGGCACATCAAGCTTGTTAAAGAATTTATGCAGATGTTTCAAAATCAAACTCTCATTCTGAATATAGAGGTTTAAGGCACCTAGGCCACCACTGTCTTTTGGAACACAAACTAGCTTCCAGGCAGCTTTAGAGGGCTTTTTGCATCCTAAGTCTGACCCTCTCGACAGACAATGTTTCCTAAACTTGTCAATCTGCTTGATGACTGTTTTTGGAAGAAGGTAGGTGCACATTGTGAATGTTGGTAATGCAGTAAGGACAGCATTAGTCATTTGTAGTCTTCCTGCTTGACTTAGGAAAGATGAGATGCTTGTTAGTCTCCTCTCACATTTATTTACAAGAGGCTAGAAATCTGCCACTGTGGGCTTTGATAAACTCAGAGGGAGACCAAGATATGTAAAAGGCAATGTACCCTTAGAGCAACCAAAAGTTTGTGCTAGAATATTGAACCTCTCTTCACTGATGTTGATTGGCACCATCATAGACTTGGCATAGTTAACCTTAAGTCCTTTTGATTCAGCAAAAGAATTAAGAATAGCCTTCAAGAAGAAAAGTTGCCTAGCATCTCTTTGCATAAAAATAAGAGTGTCATCTGCATATTGGAGAATGGGAAAATCATGATCATGTGGCAAAACCAGAGGCAAAGTAAGGAGGCCTTGTTGCTGAGCTGCATAGTTACACAGATCATTGTATCTAATGTTGAGGGTATTTGTCCACCCTTGCAGGATTCTACACCCGAAGGAAGAAACAAGCGGCGATCCATGCGGTAATCAACTGAAGTGTATTTGCTAAGTTCTTCGTACCTTACTGTTGCATCCTTTGCTTACAAAGTGCTGACGTGCTGCAGTGTGAACACGAAGGGTACTATGGTTGATATTCTTCTGCACCATATGTTGAGCAATGAACTTGATGGATCTCAAAACTCAGATTGATAACTCATCTTAATGGTACTAAGACTACTAGTACAAGTTTAAATTCCCCTAAAAAAGAAGACTACTAGTACTACCCTGCTTTTCGTTAACTTCAACCACGGCTTCCATTATGAATACCTGTCTCATCTCTACTCTACAGCATGTCCAAAGACTTCGATTGGTAGCATATATATACCATTTGTATAGCTTAAAAGTGACACAGCAGATGCTGACGGAGGCTTATTTATCTGCAATTTCAGTCAATATATATACCCCTTACATTTTTGTTGTTAGCCTTCTGATTTCTGACGGTATGGAATAGACAGTATTGATTGCATTAAGCAACTCGTATGAAGCGAAATAACAGTTCTGGAGTCAAAGGTGTCCAATCGTCTCCCTCCCTAATTATTATTAATGAACTCTCGATGCAATGGGTGATTCTTGCTTCTTCGGAGAGAAATAAGTAAGGCTGATACATATCCATCAGTGTACTATCGAGTGCCAGGCTTCTTGGCTGAAGATCTATATATACTATGGGGAAGTTGAGACCATCTGGTAGCCACCTGACCTCCTGCAGTCCTGCCCCTCGAACAGAGAAAGAAGTCGCCACCGAGCCGCTGCTGCAAGAACGGCTCCACTCCATAAGGTATGGCCGATGTCCCACGCGGCGCCGAAGAGACCGTCGCTCGGACTCGCGTACAAGTTGGATGTCGGACGAGACCGCGAGAAAGACAGACGACGTCGATCGGCCCCCTCCTAAATTTAGTCCCGTCGGATGTTCGATACTACGGGATGTTTGATACTAATTTAGAGTATTAAATATAGATTAATTATAAAAATAATTGTATAGTTTGAGACTAATTTGTGAGATGAATTTATTAAGCATAATTAGTTCATGATTTGATAATGTGATGCTACAGAATGATGGATTGATTAGTCTTAATAAATTTGTCTCGCGAATTAGTCACCGCTTATGTAATTAGTTTTATGATTAGTATCCGAACACCCGATGTGATATTTTCTAAACTTTAGTCCCTGGATTAAACACCTCCTAAATAATACATGGACCTTCAATGCTTTATTATAATAGCTATGTATATCTATTTACATAAATATATTATACTCATGAGTCCCCTAGCGGTTTGGGCCGCGACAGTCGCATCTCCTGCCCTCTCCTCTAAGACCGGCCTGGATGTACACACCGAGCAAGGTGATGTCCCTCGGCTCGAAGTACAGATCGTCGGTGCTGTCTCTGAGGCTACTGATCCTCCCCTTGCCGTGCCCAAATCGTGGCTCGTCGAACGAAATGAATTGGACGGTCATCAGTATCTGACAGTCCGTTGAGCCATTTCGTTATTCGCAGATGACCATGGACAGGAAGCCTGTCTCAGTATCATAAACACCCTCTGCTTGAGTTTTCTGAAGCTGGAAATGCACCGGGGCCGACAAATTGAGCCAGTTATTAGTAACTGAAGAGAGTATAAAGTAGCTGACATTCACCAGCCGGCTCTGCTCCATCTCCGGCGCGGCGTGCTGGGAGAAGGAGTATTCAGCTGCCAGCTTGTCGCCGTCGACCATCGCCGGCCCGATAGAGACAGGGTAGGCGCGCCTGCCGCCGTCGCCGCCGACGCTTTGGTCGTCCAGGAAGAATCTGAACTCGAAATCACGCTTACGAGTAAGTGTGGTTGCTCGGAAACGAATCCTTGCTCTTCTTGTCGTTGCTCAGCGTGGCCTTGAGATAATGCTGCTTCGCCGTCTCAAGCATTGTATGGTTGTACTGGTAAGCCACGTCAGAGAGGTTGCCACGGATGACCTTCGTAAAGCTCGATGCTGTTATTGGACTGGAGACTACACCAGCGTGGCTGTTGGCGCTCGCGTTCTAGAGCAAGCTGGCGGCGAGGATCCGGTCGCGACTCGCGAACGGTCCACACGACCGGGAACCAGAAGCTCATTCCGATCCCGCGCTCGCGCACCTCCAGGTTTTCCGTAGCGGATGGCCCCGAAGCCGAGCGCACTACCTGGCAAGCGCTAAGGCAGAGCCGGCTCGTCGCAGAGTCCCAGAACCCGTCGGCGACGACGGCCTGTTCTTCGACAAAGAAGCGGTCCATGGGCGTCGTCCACAGGCTGGTATCGTTGGAGAACACCGCATATAGACGCGCACCGCGCCGTTAGCAGCGCAGCGCACCTGGTTCACGTTCATCCGTGGCTCACGCAACCACGGCAGTGAGGAGCCGGAGCCGGAGGAGGAGGAGGTGTTTGACGCGTGCCTGCTCCCGTACTCCAGTCTGTAGTTAGTGATGAGCCGGGCTCTGAGGGCCGAACAAGAGAAGCCGCTGTGCTGCGCCTGCGGCGGCATGAGAGCGCGCCCGCGGTGGCCTCCGGCTCCATGGGTGTTGGGGGGCACGAGGCACGCCCGCTGTACTTGTAGACGTCGTCGCCCTCGGCGTACGTGACGAGGGAGACGGCCTCGAAGTCGGCTCCCTCAAGTCGGCCGGTGACGAAGGTGTCGGTGAGGCTGGGACGGCTGGGAACGCGGAGGCGGAGGGCGACGTCCGCGTAGTGTTTTACGGAGCCGCCGGCCACGGCAGCAGCGTGCTCGGTGCCCGCGCCGACCATGCAGAGTTCAGCAGAGGTGGAAGGAAATAGAATGGGCGCGATGGTCGCGCATGGTGTCACCGTTGTACTCATAGGTCTCCACACGGTAGCCGAAGAGGGTGAGAGTGGCGGTGAGATGGATCAAGGCGGGGTCGGTCGTGCGGGAGACGCCGTCGGAGATGAATGTGAAGAAGCGGTCGTGGAGGTTGAAGTTGAAGGAGCGGTGGTGGTGGTGGAGGCCGCCACCGTTGTCGGGGTAGAAGACGCTGTCTGCACCGCTGCCTGAGAAGAAGCCAGTGGAGAGATGGAAGGAGCTGACGAGTTCATTAATGTCCTCGCCGACGTCGATGGGAAGGTCGGGAGCAGGAGATGGGGACGAGCAGTGGGAGGAGTAGGAGGACGGGACAGCGGCTGCGAGGGTGGTGGCGATGGACGACAGGAGGAGCAGGACCACAACCACAATGCGGACTTGGCGAGTGCAATGGCGGGGATTATTGCTGGGCGGTGGTGCCATGTTTAGCACTTTAACTTGGTGATGATGAAGTGTGGTATGGTCTCGTCGGTGTGGCTGGTGTTTAAGTAGAGGAAGGTGAGGCACAAACACGGCAATATAAAGGGAATGTTTGCCGATTGGACGTCACCGTCCGTCTAACATTGATGAAAAGTGACGATCTATCCATTGTTCAGCGGATAGCTTCGGAGTTCCGCGAGACCTTAGTTTCTTTTTTTTTTACTGAAAAGCGCGTTTAACAAAACTAAACATATTTTGTTGCCGAACGAAGCTTATCTCTAACGTGAATCCTGTATTTCAGGTGTCTGTTTTTTTTTGCCGTTCAAACAACTGTCTTTTAGTTATACTAGTTAATTATAGCATAAATAAAATCATCTTGAAATTCGGACCACTTTGCTTAGAAACGCATGCTATCATTTTGTGGCATGGTAGCATTGGTCCCTTCGCTACCGGATTCAGCTTCTTTGCCGAGTGCCAGACCGATATACACTCGGCAAAGGCTTTGCCGAGTGTTACACTTGACAAAAGGCGCTCGGTAAACAGTTTATCGGCAAAAACCTCTTTGCCGAGTGCACTTTATCGGGCACTCGGCAAAGCCTTTGCCGAGTGCTAATCTGACACTCGACAAAGAAAAGTCGCCGTGACGGCGAGCGCCACCGTGACGGCGGCTTTGCCGAGTGTCAAGGTCAAGCACTTGGCAAAGGTCGCCGCTTTGCCGAGCGTCGTTGACTTAGACACTCGACAAAGGTGGCCACTGTACCGAGTGCCACCGGCAAGACACTCGGCAAATGTAGCCTATTTGCCGAGTGTCCTGTCAAGACACTTGGCAAACAGGCGACCTTTGCCGAGTGTCTGACCCGTGGCACTCGGTAAATCTGTGATGTTTACCGAGTGCAATGGCCTTTGCACCCGGCAAAGCATGTTCCCAGGTAGTCACTTTGCCGAGTGTCATGGCCATTGCACTCGGCAAAATGACTGAAAATAGCCTTTTTTATTTGTTTTTTTACATCCCATCTAAACAAACAGAAGATATATATAACAAACATCATCAACATCACATATATGCCCGTGCGTTACTACGGGATCCAATGATTAGAATATAATTAATAGGATCAAACAAAATGGTCAAAGATTATGTCACCTACTTTTAAAATATAACAGATAGATGGGATGCATCATTGAACAATAATAACCATCAACATCACATTAAGGCATATACGCTGGAATTTTTGTTTCTAAAAAGCACACAGCTTTGATATCTATGGTCTCATACATGTTTCTAGAGAGAAAAAATAGTACATGCATCTGTTGTGGTAGGTCCTTGTAAGATCTGCAAAATATTTTATCGATACAATAACATACCAAACCTAGAACTTTGCCAGCTAACACTACAAAATTGATTGAGATACCAAATCTAGAAGACACAACACGGTTCCCACCCCAATCTGCCTTTGGGTCATTGGGTGTTTGACGCCACCATAAAATCTCATCGCCATCCTTTCAGCCAGCTTAAGCATGCTCTTCCTCCCCTCCGTGCTAGCCATTACTGCAGCAAATGATTCTATCACAAGGATATGAACTTTTTTGGGATCCAATAGGATAGAGAGCACCATGCACACGGCAACAGAGAGCAGTCAGATTAATAATACTGTGGCTACTGACTCCAACGCTAAGATGTGGCCACTGACTCCAATGCCCAAAACAGAGTAGAGTGAAAAGACCATTGTGCAAACACCACCATGGCACCATCGCCATGGGACAAGTTACAAGATTAGCTTTTGAATTACCTAAATATCTCTGAGCACCTCCACGCATTTATTGACCTTGAGAGGGAGGCTGTCGAGCATAGCTGAGTGCTGCGGGTGACCAACCCCTTCAGTTTGTTTTGCATAAGAGTAGAATCATACAAAATGGTAATCACTGCAACGTTGAATTACCAAATCACTGAGTTTTCAAAAAGGAGATCTCAAACTTATCTATAACAGCGCAAAACACTGAAAGTTTTCATCCACACCCACAACTCAAATCCCCATCCCACTATTTGCAATAATAAAACGAACTTGTTTATTACTTACCACGGGTGGCCACTTCGGAAAAGTTGACTTGTTATCAAGTAATGAAGCAACAGGTGGCCAAGTTCCTTCATTTGGAGTGCTCAGAATTCTGCATTAACAGAAGAGAATGCACATCCCAAATAAGGTATTTTTTTCTGCACCATGCAACAAACTAATAAAATAATGACATGTTCTTCAAAAGGAAAGGAGCAGATATAGAGCATCATGTTAACGACGGTTCTTCCATATAAATGCCAGCCAAGATAAGATATTTTGAATCACTGGAGCACTGATTCATCTCATCAGCGAGGGTCAATGCAACAACCAGTACAGAACTGCTTAGATTGAGTTTAAGGGGCATTTCATCAAACGGCTTACCTGCATACCGTGCATTGAGTAGGCTAGTGCAGCAGATACAATCCATCCTTAATTCCTTATTCCGCTCAAGTCCAGCAAATACAGATAGTACAATCCAACACGCCTAGCAGGCTAGCTTGTACAATCAAGGAACTAAGCAATATATAAGCAAGCAACACATAATGTTAATAAATCATGATCAACGAACTGGATGCATGGCGTGGGCAGTGACAGAGAGAGCAGCAGTAGTACAATTACGCAGTAGGCTGCCGCCTGTTCCAGGAAGAAGTGAACGTCCTTCTCCACCAGTCCACCCTGTACATGGGCTCCAGCTGCAGCGCCAGATGGATGTTGCTGCCGCCGTGGCCAGGGTACAGGTACACCATGACGTCGATCTTCTTGTTCCCGCCGCTACGGACGCGCTCGGGCCGTCCGAAGCCGAAGTCGACGACCTTGAACCGCAGCGAGCTGCCGACGGCCACGTAGTTGGGCGGCGGCGGCGTTGTAGTGGAACGGCTTGGGCGTCACACAAGTACTTAAGGTTAGTAGTAGATCTCAAGCAAAGCAACATGTCAAAATCAACCTGGGTCAAGATGTCACCTCGCCGGATCCACCAAGGGCGAGCGCCTCCACCCTAGCTGCTCTGCCTCGTCGCTGGATCCGCCGAAGGGCGACGGCCGACAGTCTGCTCACCGGACGAGATGCCTCATCGTTGGATCCGCCCTCGGCCAGGACGTCCTCGGCGTGGAGGGGAGAGGGCAGGGGCGACGGCGGCTGGAACCGTCGGGGCGGGTGGGAGACGCCCCGGCAGGGGGCGTGGGTTCGTCCGAGGGCGTGCGGTAACCGCGATTAGGAGCGGAGCGGTGCGAGGAAGTCAAAGCATCTCCGAGTTTCCTACATTTTTCTCCTAAAAAGTTATAGTTTGGCAACTCTAAAAAAATATTAGAGCATCTCCAAAAATTCCTTAAACCCACTCCTAACCCTTGGTTTTTAAAAACAAGAGAAAAAAATCTCTCTCCAACAATTTCTAATATCTTCTCCTAATTTTTAATTTTTAGGCACTTGGTAAACTGAGCCAGGCGCGAGTATCTTTCCGCGCTCGCAGCCTAGCACGAATCGGTGGCTTCCCGCGCGGCATCAATTTGGCGCCCCTCCTTTTGCCGCGAATCGGTCCTTGGCGCGCTCGTTCATCGCAGTTGCGTCGGATCTCGGAGACATACGAAGGAAGCCACTCCTCCGTCGGCATCCAGAAGAGGTAGCGGTCCGAGGAACGCGTCTGATCGGCTTTTCGTCTTGTGATATTGGTCTCCTCTCCTCCGATCTGCTTTTGGATCTTCACGGTATTCTCGCGTGCTCCGTCGTCGTCGCCGCCGTCGTCGTGGCGGTGTTTGCCGTATGATTCGACCGACGCGTTACACGCGATGGTAGTGCTGGCGTATCGCTTTCGGTCCTCCTTAGATGGTCGACGCGGTCCTCCTTCCAATGACTGTGTTTGTTTCTGCTGTATCGGATCGACGCGCGTGACACATATGAGTTTCAATGATTTGTATTTGCTACCTGTATCGACTGACTGTGTTTGCAATGACTGTGTTTGCCATCCAGAACCCAAGCACCATGAGTCATGGGTCATTTCGTAATGATTTTGCATGATTAAGAAAGGAAATACTTTGGTAATGATTTCTTTGTTCATATTTGCAGGCTAGTCGCAATATTCGGTGGTGGATATTGGACTGATTTGGTCCTGACTGGATTTGAGGGTGTTCGTTCTTTGGACGAGTTCAAACTTTCCCATGACATAGGAAACGCACACATATGAGGACGTGCACGGTAGGAGCTGGTGTTGAAGAACATGAAGTGCTGAGCGAGAGAGGTTTGAAGTTGTAGAAGTACTGATCCAGGTCTTTGGTGGTAATAAACGCCCACGCGTTCCAAGGCCAAACGCCAAGAGGCAAAAAAATTTCATTCCGGACGAGGATGTAATTGTTGTCTCAGCTTGGTTGAACGTCAACAAAGATCCCGTGCAAGGTGCTAATCAGTCTCATTCCTCCTTTTGGCGTAGAATTTATGATTACTATGAGACCCACAGGAAGTCATTTGCAAGCCGAACAGAGAGTTCACTAATGCATAGATGGATGTATATTTTGGAGAATGTCAACAAGTATTGTGCTTGCTATGATGCGATTGAGCGTAGAAATCAAAGTGGAAAAACCATTCATGACAAGGTAATTCTTTTTCTTATTTCAGTAATCTTAGAAGACATACACGTTGATATTTAACAATTGTAGATATTGATTAGTTGAACAAACTTGGTATTCAAAACTTTTCAATTTGAAGTCATTTAGAGTTCATAATACTAGAATCAAAGTGTTGTTGTTTCATTTGACCAAATTTGACTTGGTCAAACTTGCTTAAATGAGACACTAAATGATCTCAGATGAAAACACTCTGAATACCAAGTTTGATCATCTCAGCAAGATCTACAATTGTTACATAGCTCATTTTTTCATTTGAGAAATTTTTATCAAACATTAGTCACAAATTCTTCAATCTCATATAGACTTTTCTGAAACTATGTCACACATTTATAAAATTTGAACTACATTTTGTTCAAACTTTCTCAAATGAAAAAATGGCCTATATAAGGATTGTAGATCTTGATGAGCTGAACAAACTTGGTATTCAAAACTTTTCAATTTGAGACAATCTAGGGTTCCGAAAACTAGTTTGTAAGCGTCGAAATTTAAAAATCACAAATTTGAACCGTTCAAACTATCTCAAATGGAAAGTTGACCAAAACAATAATTGTATATCTCGATGAGTTGAACAAACTTGGTATTCAAAACTTTTCAATTTGAAGTCATTTAGAGTTCATAATACTAGAGTCAATGTGTTGTTTTTTCATTTAACCAAATTTGACTTTGTCAAACTTGCTCAAATGAGACACTAAATGACCTCAGATGAAAAAACTCTGAATACCAAGTTTGATCATCTCAGCAAGATCTACAATTGTTACATAGCTCATTTTCCCATTTGAGAAAGTTTTATCAAACACTAGTCACAAATTCTTGAATCTCATATAGACTTTCTGAAACTATGTCACACGCTTGTGAAATTTGAACTACATTTTATTCAAACTTTCTCAAATGAAAAATGGCCTATATAAGGATTGTAGATCTTGAATCCATGACCATGACTCCATGAGACCCATGAAGCCATGAGCTTGGCTATTTCTACTCATGCCGCGAAGATTGGTGCTTGTATGATGTATCTGTATCTTTATCTTATTTGTTGCTTTACTCTTTAGTCTTTCAGCTTAATCTAGATGGATTATGTACTCATAGAGTGGTGTAATGGTTTGCGCACGTATGATATATATATATATATATATATATATATATATATATATATATATATATATATATATATATATATATATATATATATGCTGCTTTTACTCAATATCCGAATAGATATTTGTATCCGACCTTCTTCGAATCCGATTCATACCGTATTCGATACTCATTATTCGTATCCGTAACCGAGTCAATCCGTATTCGTATATGTATCCGAACGCTATCCGTGTCCGAATTCGAATCCGAACAGAAATATGAAAACAAATATAATATGAGTGATATCCGTTCGTATTCGATCCGTTTTGTACATGCTAGTGTTGTTGTTTCGTTGCCTATTCAAGTTCAGCATGTCATTAATTTTGTACATGCTCTTGGTAGTATTTCTCGCCACTTGTGTGCTGTGAGTTTTTGGCTCCACAGACTCTGGTGCCGCCATAAACTCTGGAGCTTGGCATTGCTCGCTGCATCCAGAACCAAACGGGCCCAAGATCCACCCCTTTTCATCCACAAACATATGGGACCAACGAGTCAGTGGCTCATTACATTATTTTTCTTCCACTCCTTTCCTATTCTCTTTCTTCTCTCACATCGTACAACACTCGACGGCCAAGGCGGTCTCGATGGCGCTGCTAGCCTCCTGCGCGCTACACGGGGGCGGACAAGCACGGTGTGATGGCTCACAGTTGGGCACACCGATGTCTGTTGCCTACGACGCTGTACCGCTGCTCAACGGCTGATGCGATAGGCCCGCCTGCCGCATAGCAGGGCCTGCATGGCTCGCCGACCCGGCCCCTAATGCAGCGACTGGGGATGCTCCAACAAATCTCTGGCTCGGATTGACTTGGATCAAGTGGTGGCGTGAAAAACCTGTTGTGGAGGTGGAAAGGGATTGAAGCAGTCTCTCCCTTCCTCGTGGGACGGAGGAGAGATTTCAGAAGATTTTGAAAAATTTATGGAAAGAGGATGAGAAAGGGGATCTACAAAAGCTGTTTTTTTTCATTTTTAAAAAGTCAAAGTGACATATAATTTGGAACGAATGGAGTATAAACAAATCACAAGATAACAAATACGACGTGGCTTCAAGTTTTCATGACGTTTAAGAAAATTGGTTTTTTAAAGCTTATTCTCCTATACGATGGTTTTTAGAGAAAGATGATCTTTTTTCTCAATTTGATGGACATGCTCTAATTAGCCAGGCTGATGTTTGCATGGAAAAGTAGTATGCATCTCGTGTGCGTATATATAACCCGTAGCGTCCCTTCTTCGTTACTCCCAGTCTCAGTCAAAACAGCTCGGAAGCAGGCAAGCAGCTACACTTGCTCCCATGATACTTTGATAGAAAGCAACGCCGCTCCGTCAGAGCAATCGGTAGTAGAGCAAATATGCTAGATTATCAGATCGTGGATAGAACTTAGGCCTGGTTTAGTTGGGCAAAATTTGGTAATTTAGCTACTGTAGCACTTTCGTTTTTATTTAACAATTAGTGTTCAATCATGGACTAATTAACCTCAAAACATTCGTCTCGCGATTTCCCACCAAACTGTGCAATTAGTTTTATTTTTCATCTACATTTAATGTTCCATGCACGTATCGCAAGATTAGATGTGATGGTTACTGTAGCACTTTTTGAAAAAACTTTTTGAAACTAAACAATACGTTCTCCGTCGGGCTCGGGTCCTGCGAGACGCTGTCAGTTTAATATTTAAGCTAGTCGGATTGGTCTAGCGCTCCTGCGTCAAACCGCTGGCCGGGGATCAAACTCCCTCGAGGGCGATTTACGCTGGCCGGAGGAAAAAAAAAATCCACTCGCTTGCTCTGCGTTTTCCAAAAGCACAAGTTGAGGACCGGCCTACTCACAAGGTTACGAGCTCTTGTGTGCGGGTAGAATATGGGATTCGGAGGTTTTTCTCGACCTACGTGAGAGGTCTCCTTCTTAAAGCGTAAAGTTTCGGGGTTGTCTAGCCACCAGATGATCGAGTTTTTTTTAAGCACGCGCAGACTGGATAAAAGATAGGTACGCACAGCAGATGGTCTCTCTGCTTCGTTTTTGCTCGTGACGTAACTAATTGAGTAATCGTGGTGGTGCATGAAACCATGCATGTGAGAATTTTTTTAACACTTTTTTAAACTATTTTTAAATCTAAAACTGTTTGTTTTTTATTTTCAAATCTAACACTTTTGGCCGCGCCTATTGCCATGGCGCGGCGACCATGCATGGTGGCACGGCGGGAGGATGACATGGCGAAGACCGGGGGCGCTGACCGATAATGTGGCAGGGTCTGTCGCGCCACCGATCTTGACGCGACAACGGCGTGCTCCGATCGGTGGTGGTGGCGAGCCTGGGAGGAAAGGTGGAAGCGGTTGAAAGCGGCGAGGCGTCGATGGCTTGGCGAGAGAGAGAGAGCGTCGATGGCTTTCAACTGCTCCATCTTCTGTCCCATGTCTCTGCTCTCTCTGCCAAGCCATCGACGCCTCTACCGCTTTCAACTGCTCCACCTTATGTGCCCATGGCTCTGCCGCGCCACCGATCAGGGCGCGTCAGTGTCGCGCCAAGATCGGTGGCGTGGCAGACCCTGCCACGTCACCGGTCAGCGTCCCCGGTCTTCGCCACGTCATCCTCCCGGCGCGGCTAAAAGTGTTAGATTTGAAAATAAAAAATAAACAGTGTTAAATTTAGAAATAGTTTACAAAAAATGTTAAAAATAAAAAAAAATCGCATGTGACACTAGCTTTTGAAGTTACTACGAAAGTTCTAGCCTAGCTTCAACGTTCTAATAGCCAATGGGTCGGTCATCGCCTCATCGGTGTCCCTATCCTCCTCACCGTCACCGGCACGGCTAGCTCCACCAGCCACCGCTACTTAAAACGCCAGCCACACCGACGGGAGCATCCACAATTCGTCCGCCCGAGACGCACGCAAACATGGCGCCACAGCCCAGCTAGCACGGCCGTTGCACTCGCCAGCTGGTCTTGTTCCTCCTCACCCTCCTCCTGTCGTCGTCAACCGCGGCCCTCGCCGCCGTTGTCCCCACCTCCTACTCCTCCCACTGCTCCTCCCCGTCCCCTGCAGCCCCCGAGACGCACGCAAACAGTGAAATCCGGCAGCAGCAGCAGGTTTCCGCGTCGATCTGGAGGATGGACCCGCAGCGCATCGTTACGCTCTTCTGTGTCTTCACCGTCTTTTGGAGCCTCCGAGCCGGTAGGAGGAACCGCGAGGAACCTCGTGCCATGTCAATGGCCATGCACGTCGTTATTATTTTCCTGGGGTGCGTCGCGTTGGAGTTCATCCTGTCGCACTGGGTGTTTTTCCTTGTCACGTTCGTTCACATGTTTAGCTAGTGGCCTGAGGCATGCATGCACATGTTCATATTGAGGCGACGAGGCTGATCCTTCAGTTGGTCGTCGTCTGATCCATATGATACGCGCTGTGTGGAGACTTAGGAATCGGGCAAACCGCCATAGC